AGATAGATAGATAGATAGATAGATAGATAGATAGATAGATAGATAGATAGATAGATAAGAACTGACTGCTCTTCCAAAGAACCCAGGTTTGATTCCTAGCACCTACATGGTGGCTAACAATTGTCTTAACTCCAGATCCAGGGGATCCAGTGCCCCTTTCTGTTCTCCATAGGCACCAGACACATCATAGACATACTTATAGGCAAAACACCTATGCACATAAGATAAAAATAAGTTAATCTTTAAAGAAAGAAAAGCCTGAAAATGTGTGTTTAGGAAAGCCTGGCACCCCAGTACTTGGGAGGTGTAGGCAGGAGGTTCAAGACTTCAAGATCATGTTCTACAAATAGCCCAGGTCAGCCTGGGCGACGTTAGACCCAGCCTCAAAAACAAAAGGGAAGGATAGAGAGAGGCCGCTGAACCTCTCCTTACGGATGGTGTCTAGGAGCAACCCAGGCTTGGCCTGCAGCTCCCAAATTCATTTGTTTGGCCTATTAGACCTCAGAGACTGTGTACATCACTTGGGTGAGGTCTGTTCCCTTCTGGCCTCAGGTCACCTGAAGGCTCTTGGCCACCTTCCCTCATGAACCTTGTCACTTGGTACCCAGAAACTGTCGTGAGCTTGCAAATACAGCCAGTCCCTATGGAGCTGCAGCTCTCTAACAAGGGTGGGGCAGGATGGGACTTCAGGGACTCTTAACCTCCAGGGCCAAGTTCCGGGAGGGGCACCAGAGTCACTAGGTAGCCTGAGTCCCAAGGTACTGGGAACTTTTCTGAAGACTGGCCTTTCAGACAGCTTCTGGAATTTTCTTTACTGTACCTCTCTCTCTCTCCTTCTCTCTTTCTCACTTCTTTCCACCAGAAATAACAGTTTGTGTAGCACACTTCTTGGGACAGTAATACAGCAGAAAGAGGAGTACAACGACAGTACCAGGAGCATTCCACCCCACCCCTCTTTCCTTTCAGGTTTTAGATTTTATATCTATTTTATTTTAGATATTGTCTTTAAGATTAGGTATTAGTTTATAGATGAATATTTTTATTTTATGTTAGTGCTGGCTTACCTGGAACTCTCTGTGTAGTGCTTGTCTTTGTTTTATAATTTTAATGTTCTTCTGTGCGTAGGGATGTTTTTTGAATGTATGTCTGTGCATCACTTCCATGCCTGGTGTCCTCAGGGAGAAAAAAATGTTGTCAGATGCCCCATGGAACTGGAGGTACAGATGCAAATGGCTTGACCTGCCCTGTAGGTGCTAGATAAAGCCCTGTCCTTCAGGAGAGCAGCCAGAGCTCTTACTGCCTCGCCTCTGCTTCCTAAAGTAGGGATTACAGGTGTAAGCACATACCATCCCCTTCTTTTGTCTTTGTTTGTTTTGTTTTGTTTTTACAGACAGGGTTTTTCTGTGGAGCTTTGGCTGTCCTGGACTTACTTTGCAGACCAGGCTGGCCTCCAACTCACAGAGCTCCACCTGCCTCTGCCTCCTGAATGGTGGGGGCTGAAGGTGTGGGCCACCACCACCACCACTGAACAGCGCCCTACCTCAGCCTGGGCTTTTCACTTTTCTCACTTTGGCTCTACGAAGCTTTCGGAGCAAAGCATTTTGTGGGAGGGGCTAAG